GAGTTTATTTTAGAGATTTCTGTCTTTGCTATCTGACCATCAGCTGCAGACCAAAAACCCAGCCAGACATACTAATGTTTAAATCTGACTTGTTTTTGGGGATCTACTTTCTATCTTGAATTTTTTTTTTTTTTTAACAAAATCCAACTTCTTGTATTTAATATGGAGATTCGGTTGGGGAGTTGGAGGTATTTCTATTTTGCCCATTGTTATTTGTCTTCCACTCACTTCCACAGCTTGAAGCCCATCTTAAAATGGGCAGTCCGATTTAATTGGGACAGAGGTTACCTAACTTATGGGGGCTAAGAATGCCCCACAGAGGCAGATGTTGGGGCTTTTTGAAGAATTTCCCACTCTAAAGATCAAGAGGCCCAAGAGGGAATGTGGTTCCTTGCACCTGCTTAGCAATGTCACCTTGGAAAGGTTCAGTCTGTTTCTGCAGGAGCCCTGAAGCACGGGAAATGCTTCCAGGGCTTGGAGGGAAGGAGAGTTCAGAAAGAGAGGTGTTGAATTCCTGTCCAATTCCCTGGCTTCAGCTAGATAACTAGATGGGGGTGGGGGACAAAAAGCAGGTTGCTAGGGAAGGGGGCAGATGAGGCCAGACGCCCTGGCAGCGGAAGCAGACCCACTGATGTGCCCTTCACCTGTCTTCACTCTGCTACCCAGGGAGAGAAAATGCTTTGACGAGGCCTACAGGACCAGCTGTACTGTTTGCTTGGCTGAATCGGGCCTGTGTCAAACCAGTGGATTTCAACAAAAGAACAGTGCTTTAAGGAATGGGTGAAGGCTGCCAACACGGAAACCATCACCCTTTTTTAAGAAAGTACCTTGTGTTTTAAAGGACCACCAGGGAACTAGTTTACTCAAGTGCAGCGGTGCATGGGGCTAGCTGTGTGTATGTGTGTGTGTGTGTGTGTGTGTGTGTGTGCATGTGTGCATGCTTTCAGCTACTTATAAGCAGACATAGGGCTGGGGCTCTCAGAGGCAGCAGCTGATTCATTCTTCCTTTGAACCACTTTCTGAGTGACCAATACTAAACTTTTGCGGTCTTCCAGAAACAGAAGGCCAGAAATGCAGCTCAATTTCCTTTGCTTTAGAGCCAACAAGTCATCATATCAATAAAATGTTGGCCATCCCATCCCTCTGTACTGCCTACAGAAGGTTATCAGGCACAAGGATTGGGCAAAGCATAAGCAGTCACCCCACTAGGGAGTGGGTAGAGAGGGGGTATTGGCCTAGTGTTTTGAAGTTTTTGACCTGAATGGTGTCCAGATTGGGGACATTAGTTTCAGATCCAATAACCCTGATATTTAGAGCCATGGGGGAAACCTTTGTTCTTGACAATTACAATGATATTTGCTGTTAACTCAAGAAAAAGAGAAAAAGATGAGGACTTCATAGAAATAACCCAATCCTCTAAAGCATTCAGGAAAGTACCATTTAGAAGTAAGTTTGTTCTTGGGACCAGCAGATGGTGTAACAGTTATGTCACTGGACTCTGAATGTATTTGACTGCGGTTCAAGTTCCAGACCCAGTGGCTTAAAACTTGCTGAGTGTGTGTGTGCATATGCACAAAATCTCAAGAAGAGAATGGAAGAGAAGGGACTGCAGCACAGCCATACCCCTGTGTGTGTGTGTGTGTGGAGGGGGGGTGGTGGTGATTTCTCGTGTTCTATCTCTCTGTCTCTCTGGTGAGTGCACACACCCTATAGCAAAAACCTCTCTCAAAAAAACGAAAAAACAAACAAACAAAAAAGGAAACAAAACAAGACCAAAACAAAAAAGTAAGTTTGTTCCTGTGATGGGTTAGAGCAATACAAAGTGAAAGCAATGCATTGATAATGACTTTCCATCTCGTTTAAGTTTACATGAGCAAGTGACTTGGGTTCTCAGAGGCAAGGAAGGCAGATCATTCCATTTGTACTCTCTCTGTCACCACACTTCTGTGACAGTTCACAGGGAAGTTGCATTTTAGAAAAGTCTAAGAGGTTTTGCCAGAGAGACTCACATGCTGTGAGCACCCACAGTCCAGTGTGGTACCTACCCCCCATCTTCTCCAGCTCACCATACATTTTTTTCTCTGCTCCCTCAGTTCACTCTAGTTCTTTCCACACCTGGTACCTCTGACAGTACCCTTCCTATCAGGAAGCCAAGTGGAACTGTTTCAAAGTGTTCTTTGCTTCTTAGTCTGTGAAAGGATACTGCTTATTATGTGGAAAAATGAATACCAAAAATGACATGATAATCTTGGCTGCTCTGTGGAGCTTGTAGCTCCTGCACAATCTGTCATGGGGCTGTCAAGAGGTCAGTACTACCTGGTTGCCATTTTCTTCTTTTGGAAGAGGAATCTGAATGTCCCCCTCTGTGGATGCCAACTGCCTGTTCACCATTGCTCTTCTCTAACATGTAGGCAATGTTTTAAAGAGACCCAAGTGGAGTCTGGATAAAGGATGAGCATTTCCAAATTAAGGGATTTATATGGGAGACAGAAAAGAGATCCTGAAAAACTCTGCCTAAAACTTGGTTCTTAGGGAGAACATGAAGCACTCAGTATTATTATTATTATTTTAATTGTGTCACAGGGCACATGTACTCACCAGAGAAAGACAGAGAGAGAAAAAAGGGAAGATAAGAAAGCCCCCACCCCCCATGGAGAATGGTCATGGCATAATCCCTTCTCCATCTCTCCCTCCTTTTAGGATTTTGGGCATGCATGCACACACACCTACCATGTTTCTCAAGGCACTGGGTCTCAGACTCCAACTGTGAAGTCAGCCATGTGGGATCTAGTTGCCATAACCACTGCACCACATGATGGCCCACCTAGTAACTTTTAAACAAAGGGAACACTCTCCTTGCAGCCTTCTATTCCCCTGCATCCAGGCATTTTCTCATAATTTTACACTAGTAATTATTAAATCTATTGTATTCCTAGACTTGGTCTTTAGCATTAAGTCTCACAATGGCATTTCTGCCTTTGGGAAACAAATATTAGCCACAGCAAGTTTAAGATTTTTTGGGGGATGACCTAAGCACCCTTGGGGTAAGGGTTGTCTGGTCCTGGAAGTAGCATCTACATCTATAAGCATTAGATGCAGGGGTGATAGCGAGCAGCACCAAGCAAGGACATGGAGACTGACCTGCCCTTTTTCTGCCAATCTCCACCTCCCCCAAGTGTATCGCCTGCTCTTTATCAGACAGCCATGTGCCTGTGCCTGGAGAGGAAGCACTGGAGCCAAAGGGCTGATTTTCCAATTCATCATTTAAAACAATACAAGACTCATCAGAAATATTATTTGGGCCATGCAGTGATTTCTGCACACGGGTTGTGAAAGAGTAGCTTCCAAACATTTTGTACTTGTGTACCAATTCCAGAGCTTTGTCCCTGTCTTTTCACTGATAGAGATCTGTACACCTTGGAACATAGTGCTTTTCCTCCTCTGTTTTCATGGCCCTTCTGGTGCTGTCTTACGTGGTAGCTGGTATCTTACCACTTTGTATTTTCTGGAGGGAACAGACCTTTCAAATCTTTATTTCCATTGCCTAAGGCAATATTTTATATACAGCAGGGTCTAGTTCATACATTCTAATTGCATTGCATACTTGGTAATATTCATCAGATGCTATGACACTGATATGATGACCAGAACAACTTTGGTTAAGGAAACCTGATCTAAAACTGTATCATTCAGAGAACATTGGTCTGGACAGGAGAGAAGTGGTTAACTTAATTAAGGATCAGTTGTTCCATGAAAAAGTTCAAGAACTTTCTTCCATGTAAGTTAATTGACATTTTGTTTAGAAGAAGAAGGAGGAGGAGGAAGAAGAAGATGTTTGGTGTAGAAGAAGAAGGAGGAGGAGGAGGAAGAAGAAGAGGAGAAGAAGAAGAATGAGAAGAAGAAAAAGAAGAAGATGAAGAAAGAGGAGGAGGAGGAGGAGGAGGAGGAGGAGGAGGAGGAATTGCTCCCATTACACAGGTGAAAAGGAACTGGAAAGCTGAAAATAAGAGGTATAGAAGCAGGCATAAGAAGATAGAAAATATCCAGGCAGGGGCTAGATTGCCCAGAGGAGTAAACCTCCCTTGGTCATCAAGAGGTCAGTCTTTGAGAAGAAACAGAGGGAATACAAGTGACACTCAGAATGAGGAGTTTGTCTCTGAAACATAGATTGGTGGGATGAGTATTCTTGGTATCCCAAGAGCCTGGATTTAAGGCATAGAACTATTATTTACTAGCCATATGACCTTGGGTAAACCTAATAGAAACTTCCCAAATGTTACATTTTTATAGCACTGAAGATCTCCTTTATGAGGATGTTGTGAGGGGCAAATCCCATCAACTTTGCCTGCAAAGTACACTGTACTATTTCAGGGTAGATGAGTGTGATTACTTTCAATCCCAGGAACCCTTTCTCTACCCTGCCATTTCTCTTTTCTTTCCAATCCCATCTTAGTGGAATATATTCCTTTCTTCCCTAGGAACTTGTGTGTTTTCATCTTCCTTCCTCTTCTCAATTTTTTTAAACCACTAATTTGCACTCTAATGCAACTGAAGCTTGTCATCTCTTGAAGAAATTTCTGGTTCCAAGGTGAGAGTGTCTTCCAGAATGTTAAAAAATCATGCCATAATTTGCCTAGTCTCCTCACATGTCAGATTGATCCTTTTCTATAGCTCCCATCTTTAATTAATTTCAGGACATACTACTTTGTTCTGTTCTGTTTTTACATTTCAATGTCTCTGACACCAGGATGTCTCTTGTAATCCTCAGCATATCATACTTTAACTAGCAGTGTTTTCTTTCTTAGAGTGGTTCATAAAATAATGGTGTATCTCATAATCGAGGGTATTGCACAGATAAAGTGTGACACTGAATATGTAAGTAACATGATAAGAAGGAGGATTCATCAGAGTTAAGAAAAATAACACAATAGTTTCCTTTGGAATCGGAAAACAATGATAGATGGTTTCATTTCTTCTACCTTGTAACTGTCAAGATTTACCTGAATATTTGGATTCTGCCCATTTATATCAGCTTTGGAAAGGTCTGGAAAGTTTGGAAGGTCAAGAAGAAAAGATGTAGGACCATCTCTTTGCAATGAAGGCTGCCCAGTCTCTTGTTGGAATCGCTGTCTGGGGAAGGGCTGGTGTGCAGCCTGGTGGTCTTGATGCTCCCCTGGTGCTTCTTTGGAGAGAGGAAAACTGGTTTCTAATGTAGAGTCACTTTCCACGTTGAGGTTATTCTAAACAAACAAAAAGCAAGAAAATAAATAGAATACTGTTTGTTTGTTTTTTGTTTTTTAGATGCCACTTGTTACAGTCAATTAAATTCAAGGGTAAGGGTGATTTCTGTGACTAGAATTAAGCCATCATGGTACTCCCAAATCATTTTGCTACCCTAGTAGTTTAGTTTCTCCATCTTTGCAAAGCCAAATCATCAGAAAACTTCTCTCAGAATGCTAGTTGGGAATTTTCTGAGGGTTGAGTTATTGGGCCATTTGTTAAGCATCAAAGCATGAAACATGTCATCTTAAAGGAGACTAGGTCATGAAAACTGGACCTAAATTAAGTTTTCATTCTCAGAAGGTCAACCAATTAACCACTCTGGCTTAGTTGCAGTCCTAGAGTGTAGGTTAATTTTTTCAGGTAGATCATGAAGCAAAGATCTGACGAAGCTGATAAAATATTTAATAAAGATAAACATGACTTATATTTATCCATTCACCTGTTTGTTCATCTATCCATCCATCCCTTTCTACCTTTGTCCATTCATCCATTTATCCAATCAGTCAAAGAATGCCAATTACATGCTAGGTACAGTTGATACAGCAATGATTCAGACAGACACAAGACTGTTCTTTTGGAGCACACATCCAGTTGGGGGAAATTAACAAGAAATGTATATAAATGTATACACACACACACACACACACATACTCAGATCAGAGAGTGGTGACTGCTAAGACAACAAAGATAGATGGGAATGATAGAAGGTGGCCAGGAAACACCTCTCTGAGAAGGAAACATTTCATGCAATATCTGAACAGTAGAAGGAGGCACTCCACAATGACCTGAGGGAAGGACATTCTAGCAAAGGGAACAGCAAATAAGACAGTCCTGGGGTGGTTATTCTGAGCAACAGAATGGCCAGAGAAGCTGATGTGGAGTGGAGGAAGAAAAAACCTCATGAGGTGAGAATAAAGAGATGAGTGTTGCTAAAAAACAAAACAAAAAACTTTTGTTCTGAAAAGTGCAAATTCATTGTTTTTCTCAGCTAGTGAAAAATGTCTCTATTTAGTTGTCACTGGGGGAAAATTTTCAAGTGATTGAAGAATGTAGAAGTTACTGGACTCCTTTCCCAAACCCGCCAGCCCTTCTCTCTGGTTCTCCCTAGACCTCTCACTAGAGGCTTCCTCCATCCCATCAGGGATGGCATTTTCATGTTTACTGGTGGAGAGAGACATGAAGATAGAATTTCACCAGCATTTGGGACAGTGGTTAATGTTCCTGTTATTCTTGGGCATGTTTGGGGGTTTGGGAGTGTATATTCCAGCATACTGTCTCCACACGCACTCCTTGCCCCCCGCCGCAGTGCCTCTGACCCAACGAAGGGGTTACATCTGCTATCAAAACACTCCTGACTCTGAGCACTCAAGGTCAAGAACTACCCCAGGATAAGACATACACAGCAGACACATGTCTGCTTAGAAAGCTAACTGGAAAGAATAATTTTTTTATATCTCTTTAAATGGGAATGAGGTTGAGGAATAAACCAAGATCACCTTTATAATTGTTCAAAGAGGACAGGAGGAGGACTGAGATGGAGAGCATGCCTGCCTTCTCCAAAACATGCAGTGATGGAGAGAAAAGCTGGCCGCTTCTCAGCATGTGTCTGCTTGTCTTTTCTTTTTGCTTAGGAAATGTGTCCAGGGGCAGTGTCTTTGTTCACCTTTCCCGCCACCTCTCTGCTGTGGTTTTTGTCTCTTGGCACATCTGTGTAGAGGGAGTTGCTCTGGCATTCTGAGGCATTGCTCAATGCAACAGAGGCCAAATGTATTATTCTTTGAGTACAGCAGAGAAAGAGAGAGACAGAGAACAAGAGAAAGATCACATGCTAAGCATGCTAAGTCTTTTCTCAATATAAGATCTCTTTGTTACACCTCGAAGGGAAGATAATGCAACTATTCCTTGCTTTTCTACCTAGATCCTCAACTCTAAAACTTCCCCAGTGGTATTAGGGATCATAATTTTATTCTCATGGAGAATTTCTTGCATAAGATTCAGGAATATAAGTCCCAGACGAGGACCAGGATTTGTGTCTCAATTGTTTTTGAGATCCTTGTAAACCAAGCCCTAACTTCATTGAAGTACCTCAGACCTACTGTCCCATGGATTAAAAATGAAAAATTTTCACCCTTTTGATGAAGTACTTTTCTGCTACTAAAATTTTTATTTTAGAAGAGGGAGGAAATATACTTTTGTTGTTATTTCACATTTTGCTTAGATGTCTGAAAAGCAGACTAAATCTGATTGATTTCTCAATCTGACTCTTTAATTTTTCTTGGTAGGAAATCCACCAGTGCCAAGTGGTCCTGGTGTAGCCTTAGACCAAGCAAACTGTTTCAACTCTCTATGGCTCAATGACCCCCATATAAAGCAGAGCAGGTGATGAGGCTCTTGTGCCCTCTCAGCAAGATGGTGAAGATAATGGGTTTGGTTGTGATTAATGATATGAAAAGAGGAGTGTAGAGTTAGGGCCATTGGCTGGCCAAGTCAGGCCACAAGCACTTCTGCCGGGAATACTCAGACACTGGGACTAAAGTATGTGTTGGCTTGGGTTATGCACACAATTGTGGCATTTCTCCATCTCTCCCCCACTGGCCTGCCCCCTAGACACAGGCTCCGTATTTGTAAAATATTTGGAATATGAAAAGCAATAAGGAAATACTAATTACAATCTCAGAATATCTGAATTATCCTTGCACTGCTTTCAAAACATATTTAACTGGAAATCTTGGCTCCCTGCCATGGCATGGCCCAAAGTGTTCAAAAACTGGAAGCTCTAGCAAAAGAGGAAGAGTGTCTAAGAATGACCTATGTAAAATGAAACTCCATTTTATTCGCTCAATAGCAAATTTTTGAACTAGCCATTATTTGATAACCTAAATTTTAAGTCTTGGGCAGATGACAGGATCTGAGAACAATAAAAAACAAACAAACAAACAAAAACTCAAAAAACCTTTTCTCAAAGGATCACACTGTGATCTCTCAGAGATCACAGCTGAAGACATCACTCTCACTATCACTGAGTTCACTTGAGTGTCCCACTTAAATTATCCTGGGGGGGGGGTCGGCGAATGGTGGTGGGACAGTAAAATGTGACACTCTGCAAAGCTGTCCCACATGCAAAGGCCCTAGGTTTGAGACTGGAGATCTCCCAGAGTATGCTGAGCATGGACTCTGGGCTCAGGAAAGCTGCAGGTGATCTCAGCCTGAGATCCCATTGGGGGTGCTCTCTCTCTGTCTCTGTCACTCAAGGTTGAAATAGATAATTAAACTTAAAAATGTATTCAAACAGAATGAAGTTTCTCTGGAAGGGTGATTCTCAAAGTGAAGATTTAAATACCAAGTCTGTAATTTGTTAAGATACTCTTCACTGAAGACAATAACTTAGAAGAGTCCCAGAACAGAAGAAAAGAAACACTGCCATTATTTCCAATTTGTAGTAGCAGTCATTTTAGCTGAATTAAGGTGACATGAGGGGGCTTAGTTCGGGAAGGTATTTCTTTATTCACAACCTGTCTTTGAGTTGATCTTTTTTTTTTTTTTTTTTGAGAGATTTTCACTGTAGGGTGCGTGCGCTCGCCAGACAGACGAGAGAGACATAGAGACAGAAAGCGAGAAATCACCCCCCAGGGGGGATGGTCATGCCGCAATCCCTTCTCCTCCATTCTCCTCTTGGGATCTTGGGCACGCACGCACATGCGCCTGGCGTGAGTTTTAAGCCACCGGGTCCGGGACAGGAACCATGGTCGACTACGTGGGAATCCAGCGACATAGCCATTACGCTAACTGCTGGTTCCCTCTTTGAGTTGATCTTTTAATCCATGAGTTAACATTGACAATGCTGCAGCACCTGCCCCTGTTCCCTCTTGTTACTCTAATTTTAGAACAGTGACTACCAAAAAAAGGAAAAAAAGTAAATCTATTATGTCATTTATCCCCATTTACCTACTGTGGCAGTGGTCTGTGTTGGTCAAATTATCCAGCAACTTCCTGTGCATGGCTCCTGTCCCCCATTATTTTACAACTTATTCTCATCTAAAATAGAAAGAGTAATAAAACACCATGTTCTCGCAGACTGGTATGTTGCTTTAGATGGCAGTGCGGCGACAAACACTACCATTATCTACCCAATATCCATTTCCCTATTTTTCTTACCCAAGTTTGTTCTACATGGCAATGGTCCTGGCTAAAACTACATCTCCCAGCACTTCTTGTAGATGGGGGTGGCCCTGAGATACAACACTGCCCAATGAGGGGTAAGTGGAATGTGCTGGATAAAACTGCTGAAAAGAAGGCAGATACTGTGTTGCCTTTTGCTTCCCTTTATCTCTTCCACTTTCTTCTGCCTGAAATGAACACACAAAGCAGGAAATGAAATGAGGCAGCTGGTGGACATGAGGATGAAGGCTGTACCATAAGGGTGGTTGACTGGAAAGGTGAAGAGAGCTGGTTGCTGATAGCATAGCAGTTCTGGAATGTCTTGTATTAATGCTAACATTAATATGGCACCAGGTGTAAAGGTCCCTCTTGTGATTTTCTTTTTCTTTCTTTTCAAAAATTTTTCAGAGAGTTTGTGTGTTTGAGAGAAAGAGAGAGAGAGAGAGAGAGAGAGAGAGAGAGAGAGAAAGAGAGAGAAGAAAAGGGATAAGCTCCTCCTGGTGGGGTGTGGACATGGCACAATCCCTTCTCTTTTATTTTTTCCATCCTGTTGGGATTTTGAGCATGAATGCATATGCACCCAATGTGTTGTTTAAACTGCCGTGTATGGAATTTGAACTGCAGTTGGCCATGTTGTATCTGGCTCCCTCAACCACCAGGCCATAAGGCCAGTCCCCCTCTTGTGATCCTAATTTTAGAGCAATAAAAAGTAAAAAGCCCTGTTTAGCTAAGTAAGTCTACGTTGAGTTTTTTATTCTTGGCAATTGAACACAATTTTCAACTGATAGACATTCTGACA